GGGTTAAGAGCCGTGGTAGGTCTGGCAATTATAACAGGAGGTCGGTCCGTATTGAGATAAAGGTACTATGCAAACGAACTCAAAATTCGTTCTTTCGAGTAAACGATGGCGAGACACAACTACTCGATTCATAATACATTTCATATCTCAAAATTGTTATAAATTTAGAGAAAAATAGAGAGAAAGAAAAAATATTATCTTGGTATATATTCATTACAAATAGTTCACATTTGTAGAAAACTTTTGATTGCACAATCGTAATAATACAATTACATTAAAGACAAAATAATTATTTATATATATTATTTTATTATTTTCTATCAATAACTCATAACCACTATCAATAATTCATAACTAATCTTAATAAATAAATATTTTATAATAAAAATGACACAAAATCCTGATCGTTAAATTGTTACTCCCTCCTATTTTTAATAAATGTCGTTTTGAGAAATTGCACAATAATTAAGAATATTTTTTTTTGCCAATAATAACCCTCATTAATGAGGATAAAAATTAATGTTTGGAGAAAAGATGGATAGTGAAAAGTTGCACAATATGTAAGAAATTTTTTTTTGCCAATAATAACCCTCATTAATGAGGATAGAAATTGATGTTTTGAAAAAAATGGAGAGTGAATATAAAAAGACGTAGTGTATTTATTAGTTAGATGAAGGTAATGATGGAAAAATATATACAAAATAGCCAAAACGAAATTTATTTAACAAATGATCAATTAAGCTAGGATGACAAATAATAAAAATAGGAGGGAGTAATAATCTTATAATTATATTAACCCTAATCCCTATTAGCGCCAGCTAACCAAATCTGTTTTTTGTGGAAACCGATAGGTAGACTGATTTTAAATGCACGTGGGGGATCTTTATGGGTTGGGGAATTAATTTCATTCATTTATTCTCTCGGTACGATGTTTTTTTTTTTAAATACCGAACTATTATAAAATTGTCATACTTTTATAATATTATAAACATAAATATGATATTTGATAAAAAGATAAATTATATAAATTATGACGGGTCTACCTTGAACACACAAGAAATTGTGTTTGACTAGAACTGCAATTTTGTGGGGAAGTGTTTTGGGTGGACGACAATCAATTATTGAGAGTTAGGAGTAAAGAATTTTGATTAAAAATGATGTGTTCTTTGTAGATTGGTGTGATAATCAGTTTGTTGTTTACTAAAAGCTAACGATGTTGAATACAATGGCGCATTTATTTGACTTAATGTCTTAAGTATATAAAACTAGTAATTAATCATGTATACATGCATATAATAATAGATAAAATGTTATAAATTATATGTATGGATATTACATTTGAAATTATTAGTTAAATAATTGGCATATCCCATTTTATAAATTTTATAAATTTTATAAATGAGTGAATGAATTTAGAATAAAAATCTCAAAAACCATCTTAAGGTGAGAAAATAAAAATTAATTCTAAAATTAATAGCCAGCTTAGTTAAATCCATAAAAAATTAAGACTGTATATAGAACTAAGAATGAATGAAGTACATGTCATGTTTTTTTCTCCTTTTAAGGTCAATGAAATACCATGACATTCTTTTTTTTATGATACAAGTACCATGACATTTTCAAACACAAAATTGTCACGGTTTCTCTCTCTCTTTTATTAGTATCATTTAAAATCGAGTATAACATGCTAGTTAAAGTATAATTGGTGTCGACCACTATTAAACATGTTAAATTTATTGAAATAAACATGGGCACACACATTTTATAGATTAGCACTGTAAAATCACTAGGCACAACATCGATTTGGGCATGCAAATGGCATCTCACGATTCCAACTCGATTAATTAAAGGTTTAGTTTGACTCGATTCGTTTATCAAACTTAATGAAACCTCGTTAAGCTTTGAAAATATTTTTCTTTTTTTTGTATATATTTTTTTTTACTTTAACTCCTTAGGGACTCGAATTTGGCTCAAGCCTGATCACTGACTCGTTAGTTAAATTTGGCTCAAGCCCGATCACTGATTCGTTCTATTAAATAACAAGCCGAGTTTAACTCAACTCGTTAAATGCTTGAGCTTGGGCATCATGAGCTTGAACTGGGCTTACGTAGTTTGTAGCCCAAGTGATAACTGACAAGGCATGCGATTAAACCTATATATATATAATAAAGATATTTAAAGTTTAGATGATCACTTTTCGCTCTTTTTACAAGCTAAAATTATAAAATTTTATTATTATTTTTTTAGAAGTTGTTTGCATAAATATTAAGGTACATATATTTTATTATTGATGTGCTCCTGCACTTGAAACGACTTCCCTCCGCTCCTCAATCGCTTCAAGACCTGCAAAGACGCCGGGAGGAGTTCCCAGAGGTAAAACTAGTTGCAGTATGAAGAGTTTTAGGGTTTGTAGATTGATCACTGACTCATTGTATTAAATAACAATTGAGGGTCTCACTAATTAATACCCTTTACATAGTTACATGTGTTAAATTTCATTAAACCACTAAAATAGCTAAGAAAATTAGAGACTATGCACAAATTAAATATCCGCTTATCAAGATTTTCGACCAAATTAATTTGTTTCTAAGATCCCAAACTACAAAAGCGGACCAATTTAAAAAACTGAAACTGTGTCACGCTCAAGTCAAACATCAAAATACAGATTAATTAAAATAGATTAATAACTTCTTGTCCGAGTTTCCATAAATTATACTACTCATATAGCATCAAGAAATAAATAAAATATCATCCAATTTATTAGCTAAAATATTATCGAAATCTTAGTCGAATCTCACGCTGATTTAATTACTTAATATCAATGAACTCAGGTCGATACTTGATTGAACCTCACCACACTAATTTTATCGTCTTTCTAATTTTAATGTTGTACTTGTGGGTTCCAACTTCCAACTTAATTCTGTGGGGTAAATAGGGCCCACACTATTTTTTTTGTTGACCTGAGAATACTTTTACATGTGCCAATTGAAATATTTTACAATGATGTGGACGAATATCAAATGATAAATTAACGGGTCATCGAATCACTATGCAAATTATTGAATTGGGAATAAATTTAATTATGTATACTAGTTAGAAATAATTGACATTAATGTGGATGACACTATTCATGGAAAGAAAATAAAATAGAAATTAAATTGATGGCCACAAATTGATTGATAATTTGATACAGTACAGAGCTTTTTCTTTTATAATTATTTTGTCCCTACATCTGAAACACAACTCACTTTCTGAGTTTTATGGTGTTAGATTTCAAGCAATTAATACCTATTTTGCAGACTCACATGTGCTCAATATTTATTTCATTCTAGTCTCTAGACGACCCCAGAATCAAATCAACATGTGTATATATATAATATAAATTAATATAAATTAATTTGTTGCTCTACAAACAATATAAATAAAAGCATGTCAGTTAAATATATAATAAATTAATTTGTTGCTCTACAAACAATATAAATAAAAGCATGTCAGTTAAATATATAATAAATTAATTTGTTGCTCTACAAACAATATAAATAAAAACATGTCAGTTAAATATATAATAAATTAATTTGTTGCTCTACAAACAATATAAATAAAAACATGTCAGTTAAATATGTATGTATTCTGTCGAAGAAATATACCGGTCGACGCATGCAACAACTAGGCCGACTCACAGAAGTGTCGACTTAAAAGAATATTTGACATTTTCAATGCTTTTTCTTGCTCTTTTGATATTGTCCTGGAATAAACATCTCATATTAGACGCTCAATTTATTGATTACTTGGATTTATGTGGTCTTTCTAAAACTTATTTGAAACAAAATATATCTATGGAATTTTATATCAAATCTCATCTCGAAACATATAATTTATTAAGATTCCGGTTAGATCAACAAATCTTTTAAAATTAAAACGTCTATCAATATCAAGGAATATACCTCCTTTATTTTTAACTGAACAAATTCAAATCAAATAAATATTGAAATCCAGTATTCAAATGGCATATTACAATTATCAAATATAATAACGACCCAAATAAATAAATTGATGCATCCAGTTTCAGGAAAGCAACATATAATTTTACTAACTCACTCCACATTTATGCTCTTGATATAATATCGATGATTTGATTTTTTTCTTTTATTCAGTGAATTTTTTTTTTTTTGTCAACTAGCGAAATTGTAAAAATTTCAAAATTCATGGACATGTTTATTATGTACGAAGTTTACAGCCCATTGAAATAACAGGCCGGGGCCCGCCTCCGGGTGTCTGGGGCCGTAACCCAAACATTCACCCAACAAAATTAAATTCCTGTTTCACATTATTCGGACACGAATACTCAAATACTCAATAAATATACGGTAACATCGTTACGAAACCATTCCGCCGGAAATGGTTAAAACACCTGACATGATGGTTCTGTAACGGAATCATAGCATTTCTCCATATATACTTATTGAAATAAAGAGAGGGAAAATATTAGGAAAACAAAAATTGAAAATGGCTCATATAGTCTGTAAATATGTGAGCGAAATTTAGTCAAAATTTAAAAATCGAGTATTCGAGTTAAACTGAATCAAAATTAAAAAAAAAATAAAAAAATGAAAATGGCTCATAAATTTAGTTTTTGATTTTGTTACGTTCGGTTAGATCAGTTTTCACCAAACTACACCAAATTATAGATGTATAGAAAAATCGAAGAAGAAAAATCTACCTGAAACATGCATTTATGTGTTATTCGGTTATCACAGGTCGGTTACTCACCCCTATAAACACACAGTAACCAAACATATCTGTCATATGGGCGTGTGTGTGGAAATAGAATTTGCTATAACAAACGAACAAATATGAATACCTTCGGATCCTCCATTCTACATACTTCCCCCAAACATAGCATAAAACCCAGATTATAAATTTCGTATCACAAATGAATTTTCATTCTATAAGTTGGTCTTAAATTATTTAGGCCCCACATTATTGTCAGAGACAATTAATTTATTGACACAAAATTACATTCCATCCAAGTGTTTGTTACATTATTTAAACAAATATTACCAAGTCCCAAGCACTAATCCGAAGCCTCAATAATTCACCGATGATAAAAAATTAAAAATTGAACAAAGCTATGTAAAAAAACATCAATACAACAATTCATCAATCTACCTTACTAATATGCTCAATGAACCTCTCCAACTCCTGGCGACACTCGCCGCCGCTCTCCGCCGCCTCCCGGACGGCGGCACCTATCTCCGCCGCCCGTCTCCTAATCTCATCCCCTTCTTCCCCTGCCGCCATCAACCTCCCGACCGCATCTTTAACAACTCCCGCCCTCACCAACTCCTCTCGTTTTTCCCAATCCCTGACGGCCAGTCCCGTTTTCAGAACCTTAGTCATGAAAATCGCGTTGACCGGCTGGTCCGAATGCATGGGCCACGCCAGCACTGGCACGCCCGTCATAAGGCTCTCGAAACACAAATTCCACCCGCAGTGCGTGAGAAACCCTCCTGTGGCCTCGTGGGCCAATATCTCCACCTGCGGAGCCCAATCCCTCACCACAAGCCCGATTCCGGCTCCCTTCACCCTCTCCTCGAACCCCTCGGGCAACTCGATCATCTTCCTACTCTCCTCCGAGAAAATGTCGGCCCTATCCGCATCCCTCAACGCCCACACGAACCTAAACCCGCACGACTCGAGCCCGAGGGCGATCTCCCGAGCCTCCTCTACTGACAGAGAAACTGTCGTCCCGAACGAGACGTAAACGGCAGACCCGCGCGCCTGCCCATCGAGCCAGTCGAGGCACGCGTGTCGTCGTCGTGCTCCTGTTTCATCATAATCGGCAACCTTTTCCGAGCCGAGCGTCGGGCTTATGGCCCATTGTTGGCTTTTCCCGCCGATTTCCTCCCGAGCTAGGAGGTCAACGTATTCACCTTCGATTAGGCGGATCGTGTTGTGTATGTCCCCGGCACGATTCTTGAAATGCTCGGGCCTCGACACGATGAAGTTTATGATCTCGGGCGCGCAGTAATCGTGAACCGAAAACGAGAGGTTTTTGTCTTTGACTTTTAGCGGGAAGGGTTTGGTCGTCGAGTGCTCCCGAAGGATGTGAAAGAGGTTAAACGCCGAGAAGCAATTGAAAGCGTAGGACTCGACGTTGGGAATGGAGACCGAGTCCTCGACGGCCTCGGCAATGAAGCGGTCGTAAATGAGGACGATTTTTTTGGTTTGGGTCGACATGTTTTGGATGAGGGCGGCAATCGGGCGGCGGAGGGCAATGTAGGCCTCCATGGCCGGAGCAAGGTGGTTGGGGGTTCTGTGCGAGCTCGGATCCGGGTCGGGTGTGGGGATGGGGGGAGTGGGGAAGTCGTGGAAATGGATAGGGTTAGGGTTAGGGTTAGAGTAGTGACGGAGTTTAACTTGGCGGTTGTGGGTGGCGGAGCCGAGGAAGTGGACGGGGAGGGTGGTGGCGGAGGAGATGAGGCCGGCGAGGCGGAGGAGCTGGTTGAGGTGGCTCTGGGCGGGGACGGGCAACATGACCACTGTGACTGGAGGTTTATCCATGGATTTTAGGGATTAAAGAAGAAGGAGCGGATTTTTAATTTTGGGAACAATTTGTTTATCTTTAGTTATTTCTTTAGATATTTATGTATAATGCACATTGTACCGTGAGGTGGTCATATTTATTTAGGGGGCTGAAATTATAAAATATTAATGTGCTTATTTATTTAATGGTGTGGTAGTTTTATTTATTTCTTTTTTTCTTTCGGCGGAGTCTATACAAATGTTCGCCCAGGTCAAAAGTCAATATATTCGACTTTTGACAAATGACAAACACTTTTTTGTCTTTTGGTTTGATGTTGATTGTAGTTTTGTCTTGAGAGTTGATTCGTATCTTGTAACTCACGAGAACATTGACAAACGAGTCACGATATTTGAGGCAACCCGNTATATTGATATGTATTTTAAATAAATATATACTTATTATATGCGTGGAATATATAAATTCACGTAATCCTTTATTTTATTTATATTTTTATTTTTGAGTTAACTTTACCATACTTTAATTAGAACAATTCAACGTTCAATCAAAAGTTATTTGCTATAATATCAAAATTCACTAATAAGCTATCATCTAACTTATGAGTTGTCAACTATATTTTCAACTAAATCTACCAAATTAATATAACCTTCACAGTTATATGATAGTTTCAATACTACCAAAAAAAATGAGATTAATTGAAGTTTTGAGCTTTACCATATAGAAAAAATTACACTATTTATCTTCAAATTTCATTTTATTTTTATATTTACAAAGTTTTTATTTTAATTGCAAATATACTAACTTTTATAGTTTATTTGGTTTATGTTTGGTTTATATTCATCATTAGTTTTGAAATTGCATTATATTTTAGTTTATCACTAGTTTATGAATGGTATATATGGAATTTGATTTTGCAAAACTTTTTAATAAGTGATGTAAATATGTAAAATAATCTTCCAGATAATGCGGTATCAAAATGGTTTCAAGATCCTGTTTTGCATAAACTGGGCCTAGCCCATTTATCTTAAAGCGTATTCATGCATGTTATGATATAGGCTCTATGTTAGTCCATAGGCGTAGCCCATAAACGTAGTATCCATATCCTAATGTCGACAACTACAGCCCAATGAATAAAACCACAACAGGCCCATGGTTCAAATTGACTATCCTATACCAATTTCCAAATGTTTCATTATTTATTTTTTCCGAAAAAAAATAAAGAAAGAAATGTTTATAAATATTGTTTCTCATTTCAACTTCTTAGACAAACTAGTGGCATTTACTTGTCATATAGGTTTTGACATTTACAACTTTCCTCATTATTATATAGATTAATAATTTTAATTTCTCAAGACTTTTCTCAATTGATCCCTCATTAGCTCTACACTCAATTTCTAAAATAATAATATATCTACCAATTGATTGACTTAATTGTTGCTATCCATCAGAAGATTCTGATATACACACAATCAATCACAGTTCAGATATTGAATTTTTTTTATCATTGAATCAAAATATACTCATGTGAGTATATGTGTGTTGATCCAATGATGAAAAACTCGATAACTCAACAACAATTGTATATAGGATGAACTATCTTTTATCCACTTATTAAATTACTTGTGAAAAATCTGATAATTCCATTGAATGTCAGGATGAAATCTACCATAAACAGTCATCAATTTCTTCGAGGAAAAAATTTATATATTCAAATGTTTGTAGGATGAAATCGAAGAAAACAAAAAATCATACATTCACACGTGTGTACATAACCACTCATCAACCTACTGGGTAAGCAATGACGTCATATTAGTCAAGTACTACATTGTGGGAACGTAATAAGATCCAGTTCGCGGCGGATCTTGTGATTTAAGGGTTGTTGTCTATCTACAATCAAATTCAATTAGTATTCGATCATGTTACATGCACAAATATTTATATTATTATAAGTTACATGTATGTATATAATATTAAGATTATAATTGAGATAATATATATATAGTATCACATTTTAAAAATTTTATCATTAATAAAAATGATTATAAAAATATTCAATTTCATCACGATATTGATTGCATAAAATTAAATAGATAATATAATTTTTATACATTAGGAATCACGGCCTATTAATTATATTATTATTATTATTACTAATATTATTATTATTATTTATGAAATTTTAAGAGGTTTGGTTATACCACTAAAGCCAAATTAGCTTATAAAAAATGCTTAATAGCAATAAAAGTTTAAGAAAAAATCCATATATCATTTAGTATGAATTTTAATTGGTTAGTTTTAATAATAACTATTATATAAGAAAATAATTAAAAATATAATTATATTTTAATTAACCATTATCTTAAAAAAAGTCATCGATTGAATTTTCAGTTACTGGTTTACCAAAAAAAATATTGGATTAAATATATATATAATTTTCCTTGATTAGTGAGTTGTTTAAAAATTTAATTAAAATAAAAAATAAAGTAAATATGTATTTGTAACTTCTTTTGGAGGAAAAATAAATGAGATTTTATTAATTACTTTGCTAGCCATTATTTATATTGAAAGATATACTATTTTGGCATGAGTTCGAAAGGAAATTCCTGCATGCATTAAAACCGTAAATAAGGGAAGTTTTATGTAGTTCATGTTTCCTAAATTAGTTTATATTATGAAAAAGGAATATTTGATCTTATTATATGTTTATATTATGTAGGAAATCAGTTCATAGGGGAAGAGAGCCTCACGCAAGAAGGAGATTGCAAAGAATAAGGAGGAGATTGGATAACTAAGGAAAGGGGATATTTGGAGAGAGAAGAAGAGTCCTATACTTGGTAGGACATCTTGGATATACTCGAAATGGAACCAAGGGCCTTGGGGACACTGGACGAAAAGGAAATCATATATAAACATACCTTGAAGATTGAAGAGTGCTTGCTGAAGCTATTGCTACTATTCATCACCTTCAAGCTTCAAGTCTCGTGCTTACATTTTTGTTTTGAGTTCAGTTCTCGGAACACTGAATTACCGAGGAACTGAAACCATTTTCTGATTTAGACATTTTTAGTGATATACACTTAGGGAATAAGTGTGAAAAATAAGTCCACGGGATGTGGCCAGAGAAGTAGTTGATAGGCTAGATCATAGTTGTGGTTAGAATAGAAGGGAGTTTTATTTTGTAAATCCAAACTATGCTTTTGATAGTTGTCAATGAAAGAGCTCTGAGGGGAAGTGGGATGCTTCCCTGAAGAGTTTTTTTAAATCTTTGGTTATTGCTTCCGCAAATTATAGTTTTTATACTTGTTCGTACAACGTTGAGCGCACTCGCGATAATTTTATACGTTTCATATATGTATAGATATGATTAATCCGTATATAAAAAGCAATTGGGATCTCAATTAACAAATGAAAAATCTGTGTTTTTGTTTTTGTTTGGTAGATCAATTGGGCCCAACATACATCAAAACGAAAGGCAATCCGAATACGATGTAGCCCAAGTAGATGCATGTAAGGCCGAATGGGGCCCATTAATGTTCAGGCACGTTGTAATCCAAGGAAAAAGAGTGCAGAAAACATAAAAACAAGAAAATATTCTGTAGATTTAAGCTTACTCGTAAGTCGTAACTGCAGTCCAAATGTACAATAATTTATATTTTGATAAAACGATACAAAATTTAATTCAATACTGTACTGCAATCACATGTAAGTTGACTTTTTCAAGAAATTGATATTCCAGTTGGGGGTCGTACACGTAAATCGTGCAGATCATGCTCACGTATATATACTTTTACGAGTTTCAGAGCATACTTTTTATTTTTATTTATTTTTGGACAATATGAAATTAATAAACTAATTAAATCTTTTGAAACATTAAAGTAAACTAGCTAGAATCCCATTATATTTGTGCAAAACAATTAAAGAGTGAAATTCAAGTAAAAAAAAAAGGATAGATCTAACTGAAAAATTGGAGACATTGACTAAAACGGTCTATTGACAAGTCTAATGGCCATGTTTGAAAAGCAAGACTAGATAAGATTAGGCGCCCAGTCCAGGGTTAGTCCGTCGTTTGCTTTCCAAGTTTGAGGCCCGCAAGATTAGACAGGGCCCGAGACTAAATTTTAATAATCTTGCATATGGGCTATTAATTAGTCTGATTTCTGTGAAGAGATATTTTTCATCTCAATAGTACACAGACAAACAAAAGTCATTTTTGACCCTGAAATTTGACATTTAAGACGAAAGTAACCTCATCATACCGAGCAATTACAGCTTGCCAGGTATAAGACCCATCGTCTCTTTCGCCCCAACACTTTCGCAGAAGATCTCTGGCAACAAGACCAATCGGCGAAAAATTGTTAGCTTCCAGCTGTGACTTCACGGTTCGTCTGTGTCACAACCAATTTTACCACAGAAAGACGGGTTATTTTTATTTGTGCGGGCCTAATCTTTTCCCCTGTTTTTGTGAATAGGTTGTTTCGTAAAACCCTAAATTTTTCATTTTTTGGGGCTGCAGGTATATTAGGATCGTGTTTCGTCCGGTGCTTTGCGAGCCAAGGAGAAAGTGATTCCTTTCGTAGTAATCGTTGTTCGACACAGGTAATTGGAAGAAGAAACGAATTTTCCAGAGTTCACATATTACACTCTCTGCTACTGATTCACCATCTTCTTATGAGCCGAGGAATTGTTTGCTATATTCTTTACTCTTTTTATTTATGAATCCTGAATGCTACAGGAAAAGTTGATCCTGCCCTCACTATCTGCTACTGATTCACCATCTGTTAATGTTTTATTTACACTATTTTCAGTAGAAGGTGAAAAAATAGAGATAAAATCATTTGAAAGAAGGTTTGGTAATATTTTGCTTTAGAAGAAATAAGGAATAAAAGGTACATATATCTGTGAAAGATCAGATTCCCTGATGAAATATGAGAGAAAGAGATAGAGAGAGAGAGAATACAAGCTTTTGGTTTGTCTGATTTTGCTCCAATGTAAGATAGAAAGAAGGTGTTATTTTTTTTTCTTACTTCTTCTTTTTTTCTGGTTTTCTTTCTGCAGAAGCAAATTGGTACCTTAACCTGCGTATTATTATTTAGTATTTACTCACGTACACTACTTTCTAAAAGTTTTTGAATATACTAAAGCAGCTTGCAGCATGTTGTTTTCTTTCATATATTCTTTGGTCCAATATGCTAAAATTCTCATTTTTTTTAATATACCCCTTTTGGAGATAATTCTTTCATATGTTTTTTTTTTTTGAAAAATTGCTATGCAGAAGAATTTTATTTGCTTATTTTTTTAGATATAGTTGGATCCTTTTGAATTTACACTTACACTGACATTGTATAACAAATGTTTGCGTTTGCCTTCATCGATTACATGGCTAAATACATATTGTTGTTTAGATCATCAGCTTAAATGATGGACATAGATTCGGAGAATGCGGTTGTACTTTTGCTCGTGGAGGAGATAATTAATCTGCGTAATTTGTTTTTTATCATTGCGTACCTTTACCTTAAGTTGGTTGTTCAACCTAGACAAATTCGTAGACGTAGAGGTCGGCTGGGAAATGCGTCCTATTGTATGTTAGACCGTCTTCCCTCGCAAATTGAACACATGAAAGTGCTAGTAGAACAAAGTGATACGACATGCATAGAACAACTTCGCATGGATCGAAGTACCTTCGTCCGCTTATGCTACTTGTTAGAACATGTTGGTGGGCTTAAGAACAGCAGAAATATACACATAACTGAGCAAGTAGCAATGTTTCTTAGTGTGCTAGCTCACCATAAAAAAAATCGTGTTGTGAAATTTGATTTCAAACGATCCGGTCAAACAATAAGCAAATTCTTCCGTAATGTACTTCGTTCCGTCCTGCGTTTGTATCCCATCCTCCTTGCCCAAAGCACTGCAGTTACCGATTCATGCACCGATTGGCGATGGAGATGGTTCAAGGTGAGGAAAATCCAACAAATCTTGCAAATAGCACCCTATTATATTAACATAAGTAATTGTTAAAACCGGTATACCTTGTGCTTTAAATCACAGGGATGCTTAGGAGCCTTGGATGGAACCTATATTCCTGTTCGTGTTCCTGCATGTCTACATCCACGATATCGCAACAGAAAAGGACAAGTTTCTGTTAATGTGCTTGGTGCTTGCACGCAAGAAATGAATTTTTGTTATGTACTGACCGGTTGGGAAGGTTCTTCGGCAGACAGTAGGGTTTTACGAGATGCTGTTCATCGACCAGGGGGCCTTCGTGTACCAAATGGTAAGTGTTACATAAATACATATTTATACAATTCCATAAAAGGTTATCCAATATAGTATTTAACATTAATTGTGAGGATAATTTTTTTTTTTTTTTTTATATTTTTTTTTTTTTTTTTTTCATATTTTGTGAGGATTGTCTAATATTTTTGCCACACACAGGGAACTATTACCTTTGTGATGGAGGATACTCGAATGGTCCTGGATTCTTGGCTCCGTATAGGGGTGTGCGGTATCATTTAGATGAGTTTGGTGAAGGTAACAGAATGCCTAGAAACCATAGAGAGCTATTTAACTTACGACATGCCAGAGCGCGGAATGTAATTGAGCGAGCTTTCGGTGTATTGAAGATGCGCTGGGCTGTACTAAGGAGCAAAACTTATTTCGACATAGACACTCAAAATAAAATTGTACTTGCATGTTGCCTTCTTCAAAACTTTATCCGTATGACCATGCATGTGGACCCACTGGAAAATGAGATTGACAATATGATGAATCATCAGAGAACCCACGAGGAAAATAATCCCTCTGACTATGTTGAGGTTGTTGAGCCAAGCAGTGAATGGACCAATATGCGGGAAGCTTTGGCTGTGTCAATGTTTAATGAATGGGACGGGCGTAGTTGAACACTGCAGCTTACAATGATGGCCATAAGGAGACTTTTTTTTTTTTTTTTTTTTTACTACTTCCGGTTGTTTGCCTTTTTTTGTGCTGTGGAAAAATACACTCTTATACCTCACATAACTGTTTCACATTTCTTCGATATAATATAATGTTTCTTTCTTGTTTTACCCTTTAACCTTACCATTGTTGATTTATTTCTGTGATCATTAGTTAGGCATGGAATCCACTGGTAGTGGGGGACGCAATTCCCAGCCCAGCGGACAACGTCGAGTTTGAAATGCAGATGAGGAAAAAGCATTGATTAATGGTTTACGAGATCTTGTGACGCGTGGTTGGAAATGCGACAACGGGTTTCGCAACGGTTACACCACCATATTGGAACAACATATGCGGCAGCAATTCCCGGGTACGACCATAAAAGCAGAACCACACATATCATCAAAGATTACGGTGTGGAAAAAAAACTATGGTATAGTTTCGGATATGCTTGGTAGTACGGGGTTCGGATGGAATGAGACGGGGAAAATGGTTACAGTGAGGGATGACACGGTGTGGGACAGCTACATCAAGGTATTAATTCCAGTTACACATGTCATTGCGTATGAAATGAGAGCCAGTTGAAAAGTAACAATATCATTGTTTTCTTTCTTATCATTCTTTTAGGCTCACCCAAAGGCCAAATCTATGCGTTATAAATCTTGGCCCTTGTATGCCGATTGGGTAGAAATTTTCGGTAAGGACCGTGCAACGGGAGAGGGGGCACAAGGTTTCACTGACGCGGTCAATGATGTCTTACATGATACTAACGTCGAAGAACCGAGTCCTATCCCCACTGAAGACCAATTTCCGGAACAATGTGACTACCCTCAGACTAACTTCGACTCTTTTTCGGCTCAAGCAGGTGAGAGTAGTGCATCCGGTAAGTCTAAGCGTGATGGAAAAAGAAAGCGTAATGTTGAGCCGGAGGATAAAATAATAGGGTTTCTTTCATCTGTTTGCCAAGAGACAAACAACCGTCTTTCGGAACTGTCTACCCGTGTTGGTTACCAAGCAAATGCAAAACAGTAGCGAATCGCGGTTTATGACGCACTAAAAAAAATTCCGCACTTAACAACGGATGAAAGGGTAGGCGTCGCGCGGTACTTAAGCAAAAATCCTGACGAGATGGATCTTTTTTTCAGTCTGGACGATGATGCAAAGACCTCGATGGTGCACCAAATATTGAGCGGGCCTATGTAGTCCGCAGAAATTCCACATGTTTTGTTTCTTTTGTATGTGTTCGGGTACCTGCCTTGGTCGTTTTGAACTGTGGACTTTTGTATATTCGTTGGTTAACATCTCTTTTTAATCACCCTGGTATAAAGTTGACAGCAAAATATAAATTTATTCCATAAATGCAGGAGACCGATTTGCAGGTTTTTTTTCATTCGAATGGCTTCAAATGGTACAACCATTGTCTGCAAGTGTGGAACGTACGAGGGGCCGCTGATGTTGATCTCGAATCTAACCCTGGTGCGAATAACGACTATCCAATTTGTCTAGATGATACTATGTCAGATGTGTGGTCAGAAGATGGCATGGAGGATGAAGTTGAAGTTCAGCAGGATGTTGCAGGCCTAATTCATGAAAACCCACTGTGGGTGGATCCGCTGAATGATGTGCAGGCCGATGAGGATATAATGGATCACGAGTCGGATGTCGACTCCTGCGTAGACTCCGTGTAGCTTACAGCAAGTTTTAGGGACGGTCTTACAACTCTTTTTGGTAATTGGGTCCCGAGTATATGTTGTTGATTTCTATCTTTCGTAAGTGTGTTTTTTTTTTAGGTCATTAGTGTGCTTATTTTTAAATTAGGCTGGCTTTAACCTTAAGTACTTTTGATAAGTCAATCTCCCAAAGTTTTGGTGTGTTTGGTGCAAAGTAAGATGAAGTGCATGGCATGTAATGGGAGATTCATGTGGTGTATTAAAATTTTATGTCAATATTGAAGCTACTAATACATGTTGTGTGCCTTTTTTAATTAAACCAGCAAGTTGTCCTTCTACTAAACACAATTTCAAGCATTATGTTCTAAGTCAGATTTGTACATGAAATTTGAACCTGAGTTTACTTTATACATTTACAAAAAAAATACATCCAGCCTATGTATGTCATAGTGGTAACCGAAGTTGAAAACAAACAGAATTCCTTTTACGCGAATCGTACATTGAAACAAATAAGTACCTAGTTTTGTATGAACCATACCACACACTACAATCTCCAATGGAAAAACATTGGTACACATGAAGTACGACGAGCAAAACTTTCTTGAACACATACATGAATCAAATGAAGGTAAACCGAGGATCAAATAAGAAACGGGCTTTCATCAATACAAGCATCAACACATTAGAAACTACCAATAATAAAAGGGTCAATGCCCACAAAGTACGGAATCTTAAAAGCAGGACACTGAAGGAAAATGACAACAGTTCAGTTCTGTGGATCACTAGAAGACCCTTTGCATGATGATGGCGCCGGCCTACGCGGTGGTCGGGGAATACGCAACGGTGTTCCACCCCCCCGCCTTGGAATGTTCACATGTGTGTGTGTGTTCACTGAACCTTCGGAGGAAGGTTCACGTTCTCGGGCATTTGGTAGAAGTAAAAGGTTGTTTCCGATTGAGCCATTTAATGGTGCATTAGTGATAGAAGAAAGCGAGAAGACGTAGGACTGTTCGGTCAACCAAGCCACATCATTCTCGTTGGTGGAATTTTGGTCCAAGACCAATGGTGCATTTGATGTGGCTTCGTACACCTCTGTGAACAAATATCATATGTCTGCCTAACGCGGGTCCCCGGAATGTTGGTATGCCACCGAGAATGGGTCAGACTACATACAGAAAAGTAATGGAAATCAGACAATAAAAAGTGATTACTCCTCAGAATTGATAACTTTCAACAAACTTCCTTACAACACAAAGTACCTCATGTTGACAAGGCTCAATAATGTGTTTAAAAACACTTGCATTGTACTTACCGTTTCAAAGTTTTATAATACACATCTTATAAACATAATCAAGTTTTTTTTTTAATATGTACTTACCATACCCATTAACCTAAACAACCTCAGTCAGTAAAACCCAAAGAACAACAGAGGCCCCTCGAACTTTGGCTTCAACACATAGCAAGACAAATAAATACCCATTTGTGTTTCATTTTCAATTAATAATGAAAACCACAAAAACGTAGGACAAGCTCGCAAAGAAAGAAAAATGTCAAGGGTATACCTCGAAGATGTCATTCCATACTGCTACCGGTGCCGTAAGGATGTTGGACTGCACACAATGACGCAACCCGTGTTTTCGTAGCATCCAACTAAAAACACGGAACCGCTTGTGAAGGAAATCGAAACGTTCCTGAAGTTCTTTGAGAGTAAAGGTTGCACCAAGATCTGCATCTAATACACCATGGCAGTAGTGGAATACATGAGGGCTTGGTCTGCCCTGTCTCCATTCTCCACCAACATGGGCCTCGGCAAGAAGGTCTATGAAGAGGTTGTCCACGTCTTTGGTCCAACGAGCATCATAAAGAAGCTCGTCTTGTGTGGCTTCCCTTCCCAAACGAGGCATTAAACTGCTTTTGAAGGTCACAAATCACAATTTTCTGTTCGCAACCTTGGTCTGAATTTCATTGTCAAATGACTATGTCTATATATAGAGGATCAAAGGACCATACAAAAGGAGGAAAGTTCATAGATGCATAAGCACAAAACACAATGTATGAGTTGTAAATCACTCATAAAGCTGAAAAGAGAATACAATACACCATCTCAGCCATTTTTGGGTTGTCTAATCTCCCTCCCAAACAGGATGATACTGCTATAATCGAATCTTCAGGAAATTGACAGGAACTCCGCAGTAGAGAACTTCACAACAGAGAATATAATGATACATTTTTGAATACAAGCACATGGGTCCGAATAAGCAGACTATTTGATTAGACACAACAGCATAGCAAAATTTGCTTTTTTGTTTTTCAAATCTGGTGGCATGTGCACCACCATTGCCTACCGACATGACCCCAAAAACACCATTACAAATTAAACCTATCTAGCAGTTACCCCAGATATCAGAGAAAACAAGAAAGAAATTGTAAACCACTTTCATACACCCATTAACGACGACTGACCGGAGAATGGAAGAATAACTGACATGCGAACCAGATGGCGCAGCACCTCCTGCTGATTCTCATTTTGCTTGATGGTCGACGCAAATCGTTGGTCGCCACACACCAGCGCGAGATGTTAGGTTAAAATTTGGGGATATTACTTGACAATTTTCATGTACAGATGTGGTGGAATGTTTTGTCAGAAATAAGGGTAAATCAGTAAAATGGTATTTTATCATACAAATTGTCACTTACAACAAACACTACATTGAACTGTGTCAATTGTTTTAATTCCACGCAATCATGGAAACCAAACCCAAGATTTCACAAATCTTAACAGTGTAATCCTCCTTTGCAAGATTAATATAATATAATCTCATCTCCCTTTTCAAACATGGCCTTATTTGGTGTGATTGATGTTGTCCTCTCTTTGCAGTATTAGTATTCTTTCTNTTGTATAATAATAATAATAATAATAATAAAATAAAAAAACTAAAAACTAAAAACAGCATGTGCTAGAAATACTAAAAGATATTGGTTACAACAAAAGTAAATTATCCGTTTATTGCAATCCCGTACTTGTTACATTAATGTCTATAAATCTATAAAGTACTATACGTGTAGTTATATAGGTTGGGCGACCTAAATAGCTTATTTACTTCTCCTATTTAGGGTAATAATCTTAGGCACTTTTGTAGTTGTTGAATTTTGGACACCCTAAATAGCTTAAATCATTATCACAATTTTTATGAGATTTCTTTTGAATAATTTAGCAATTATTTTCAATTTTTTACTCTAAATGGGTTAAACATAATTGCATCATTTTAGTGACCATGTTCTTCTTTGGCAGGACACCAATAATTCACTGTGCATAAGATTCGAATTAGATTTGGTCACATGATCAATGCCACTAATTGATGTTATTATAATATGTATTGGAATATTGTGTAAGATTACGAAAGAAAACTAACTTAATTAATTGTCAAAGCACGCATAATGGGACCATTAATCGAACCCTACAAGTTCAATGGTTTATAGCTAAAATAATTATTAAGAGAAGCATAAGTAACTAAAATATATGGATAATTATAATCATATAATTGAATAAATTAATTGATCAAATAGCTAATGTATGTCTAAAGAATGTAAATATGCATTTATAATTATGTTAAAATACATTAAATTATATTGAAAAGAAATAAACAGAAAAATTTATAATAAACTTTTCTACCAGTGCAACCATTTTTTTCCCATCTGGGAAATACCATTTTTTTTCTAGCTTCACAATATTTTCTTTTTTTTATTGGAATTTGGCTAAGTTACTATTTGGCAGTAAACTGACAGTAGATTGAATTTCAATAGTTGATTTAACTTGAAGATTATACTAACGGTTTACGAATGAGTGTTTGATAAATAATATTTTGTATAACTATTTGAAAATTTTTGTTACCATGTTATATTATGAATCATTTATGTTCAAATTGAGTTTTTTTAGATTTAACATTTTGAATCTAAAAACTAATAAAATAATCTTTTTACCAAGCAAAAGCTCCTTTGCTTATTTGACATGTTAAAATATTAAATGGTATTCAATATGCTAATTTAACATTTCAAACAAGTCCACAAGTTATCAGCTCAAAATTAAATTATATGGAGTATCACTTACGAGTTACAACTTATGAGCTATCACAGAATTTGTCAGTTAAATCTACCAAACATCCTTAAATCTATCATATTCTTTTTTAAATTAATATTCTTAAAGATTGGCTTGGGGAAATATTTTAAATAATGACTTTTCAATTTTAAATATTATCTATTTTCAAACGTATGTGCCAATTGAATCTCCCATTAATGGAGGCACGCACTACAATGTAATACACGTCTTAGCTTTGACATAAGGACCACCAAATTAATATTTAATCACACAACAAATTACACAAGATCCAATCAACATAATATTTATTTATTTTTTCTCCTTTCATCATTGGGAAAACTATTATTTTTTTTTCCGATGAATTACACGAGTGCTGCAAGCACCCTCGTGCAATAGATCAAAAACTAGAGGCTACCTAATTATATGCGAAATGAAAGAGTCCCACTCCAACCTCATCGGCCCACCATCCTCCGCCGCCGCCTCCCTCACGGCGCGGCCAAGCTCCGCCGCCCGCCGCCTCACCTCCGCCCCTTCCCCCGGCCCCATGAGCCTTCTTACCCCTTGCTCGACTTCTCGGGCCCCCACGATCTCGTCCCTCCGGGCCCACTCCCTAACCGTTATCCCGACTCCCAACACCTTCGTCACCAGCACCGCATTCCTCGGTTGGTCCGAGTGCATGGGCCACGCACCCATCGCCACCCCCATTGAGATGCTCTCCATGCACGAGTTCCAACCGCAGTGGCTCACGAACCCTCCCACCGCCTCGTGGCCCAATATCTCCACCTGCGGGGTCCACTCGCGCACCACGAGCCCACGACCCTCGACCCTCCCCTCGAACCCTTCCGGAAGCGCGATGATGTCATCATCATGCTTCGTTATTACACCATCTCCCACGTCGGCGTCTCGTAGGACCCAGACGAACTTCTGCCCGCTGTTCTCCAATCCGATCGCGAGCTCGTGAATTTGTTTTCGCGGAAAGGTGGTCGTGGTCCCGAACGAGACCAGCACGACCGAGCCCGACTCGAGCCCGTCGAGCCATTTCAGGCACGCGTGGCGCGAGCCGGGAGAGATCACTCCAGTTCTCTCCGAGTTGCCGATCGGGTTGAACGGGCCGAGGGCCCATTGCTGCTTCCCCCCACTGATCTCCGCCCGTTCGATGAGCTCCATGAATGGGCCCTCGACCGCCCGACACGTGTTGTAGACCCGGCCCGAGTTCAGTTTGATGAACTCGTGCTGGGTCTGAACGAAACTCCCGAACTCGGGGCTGAAGCAGCCGTCGAGCGACGGGATGTCCTTTTCCTGCAGGAGATCTGCCGGGAGGTCGAACGGCCTCCCGGCACTCTCCCATAGGAAGAGGAAAATCGCGTATGCCGACACGCTGTGGAACGTGTAGGCCTCCGCGTTCTGGTAACGGACGAAGTCTTGGACCACAAACCCCATCATCGAGTCGTGGACGACCACGACTCGACGGTTGGCCGCGCAGAGGTCCCGGAGGATCTCTGCCACGGGCTCTCGGAGGCTTGAGGTGGCCTCGATCAAGGGTTGGAGGTGAGTTGGGAAACGGGTCGTTGAGTTCGGGTCGGGAGGTGGGGACGAGTAAGGGAGGGAAGGGATTTCGTGAAAGGTGATTGTCGAGTCGTGGTGGTCGTGGGCGGTGGTGGTGGCTCGGAGGCGGGCTTGGCGGGAGTGGGAAGGGGCGGCGGCGAAGTGGACGGGGAGGCCGCGGGCGGAGATGAGGCGGGAGAGGTGGAGGAGCTGGTTGAGGTGGCCTTGGAGGGGGAAGGGCACCATGAGGATGGCCACCGTGTTGTGCGGCGGTGAACGGCGGCTGGCGGCGTCGGAAGCCATATTGGTGGATAAGATTAGGTGTGGTGTTAAAAGTCGGTGGGAGTGTGTGTGTTCGGGTGATGTGGGAGTTCTTGGAGGAGGTGGTGATTGTGTTGGATTGTGTACGCTTATATTTATTGTTAAACGACACACGATAACAACTTAGAAAAAAGGACTATACATATATTTAATAATAATTATTATTTTTGAATTATTGCTAAGTATAGTAGATGAAGTGGACTTTTTTTTGTTTGTTCTAATGTGATGGTAAATAAATTTATTTAATGAATTTGGTGTAATATTCTATTGCTAGATGTAATAGCGTACATCTAGCTTTAAATCACAAAGTTGAATATATACTTAAGCCAATTAATGTGACTTAAGTAATATTATATGACTTTCATAATATTAAAAAAAAAAAATCTTCTAATTTTGAGAGTTAGCATTATGCTAATAATTTAATTTTACAATTATCTCTATTATAAATAAGCCAACCCCTCTTAGGGCATCTACATTGATGTCATTCATTGCATCTATTAAGATCTATGTGTCCAATTCATTTAAATGCCCCACTAATATCATTTAATCCATTTGATGATATTTTTTGTAGCTATGTTCCACCATACAATCCTTTTATATTTAAATTCATTATCAAATGTGGAAGTGGTTTGTCCATTGCAAATGGAGCTGAAAGAGTCCTTGTTGACAATTCTCCTGGCATAGTGTTAATAATAGACTAGATCAAAAGGGCTCAATTAAATTCTAGTACTTCTTCTATTAGTGAAGTTTCTAGGGCTCAATTAAATGTGGAAGTGGGTTTAAATAGAGAAATATTTGGTGGACTAACAAAGTGATATAATATGAAAGAAAAAGTGTGTAATTGCATACTGGTGTTTAAATGAACTGATAAGATAATATTAATAGTACTCACAAATAATTAATATTTCATTAAAGTTCAATAAATCCCAAAAGGGCACACATTGAGGACCACTGGCCCAAAGACAAAAATCAAAGGAACTTGTTTTGGTGTAGGTGATGTGGTGTGAAACTCATTCATTGTACAATATGGCTGGTTTAATAACCATTTTTTTTTTTTTTTTTAACTTAAATTACAAATGAACACCTACCCAGCACATTAAGATTTGCCTACAATCTCGTGATTTTTAACATTATATTTTATACGTTAATTTCATGTCACATCAAATAATAACATATTAGCTCTTGCTCATTATTAATAAAAAAAAAAATAAGTTGAATTGGTGAATAGTGCTTGTGGACCATTTTTTGCCAAACTCTTTATCAAGTGCCACGTGTCAATTATGGCGGGCTTTAGAGATCGGCATTGGAAGAAACACACATCGTGAGTGGTATAATTGGTAAAATTATCTAATGACTGATAAGTGAGTTTTGAGTTTATAACTAAAAAATTAGTTGATATGATAAACGTGTTCTGTAAAATTAGTTGATAAGTCAGTTAAAATAAAAAATTCAACGTACGTATTTGAAAACTATCCAAAGAAACGCATGAGATAAAACTCGAATTTTTTAAAAAAATAACTCATCATACCAAACCAAGTTCATTTGTATAGAGAAAGCTTATAAACTAATTGTTGATGAACGGATCCGATCAACAGTTAATAAGAGTTTAGTAGTTGTTAAGAATGAAGAATGAGAAAGATGTATGAGAAAATGTAGTTTTATTACTTAATTACGAGATCGGCCTCCGATAATGAGGTCGGCACTTTTGTTACACTTGAGATCTTTACGAGAATTTATTACAGAATTGTAGAGAGAGAAAGTAGTAGTTGAGGGTTTTTAACAATCCTAATATATGAGAATGGGTCTTCTATTTATAAAATCTTCAAACTCGGCATTGTTCATGCCCTGTTCATCCTGTCCCATCATACAGTAGCTTTGAAGGACAGGCCGGCGTCGCTCTGAGATATTAAAAGCGATTTGAGGTTTCTGTAATGATTACCTGTCAGACATTTAATGCACACGTGAACAACATTAAATGCTGTCATGCCTTTTGGCTGGGCTAGCTACCATAGATGCCAGGCTAGGACAACTTGTCCATCGACAATCATTAGTAGACAAGTGACATTATTTTATTGTTTTCCAGGTCTTAGACTCATGCGTAGGCCGATTTCGAGGAATCTTCAGGTCAGACTTTTATCGTCAATTCACCTCGTAGTATCTAGGGCCCTGTTTCCCAACTCGACACTAGTCTAGCGGGGACAGTCAAAGTGCCGGTCTCGAAAACGGCGCTACTTGTCGCCCTCGTTAACCTAACTTCGCAGTCAGTTCGGCACCTCGAGATCACTTTCCCGGTTCTTTTGTGGCAGCTCAACTCGAATATCAACACTAATCAAATAAGTTTTAAAGTATCTTATGAATTGTAGTGTTTACCAAACACACGCTAAGTTATTGACCGATGTTAGCATGAACATGAAGAATCCTTAATGCTGATCTAACCAAGCGTATGGAAGAAATCGACTGTTCTACTGGTCAAATCCTCAAAATGACAAAGTTATTTGTCCATTGAAAAGTGAAGTTGACAAAACCACTTGTCCGCGGTGACAAATTTTCCAAGACACGTGTCCAAAAAATAGACACTGAGGTGGCTTGACTCAACATGCAACATCATGATTTAGGGGAATGCTATGGTCCTGTTACGGTACTATCCCGTTGGATGTTTTAACCGTTGAATCATCTATTTTATATTAACTACCGACGAGATGATACCGTAACGGGACCTTAGTATTTCCCCATGATTTATACTTTATTTACCTTGTATATGTTGAATGCTCCACTCTATTTAATTATTTATTTATATTGATCATATGAAGTTTGGTTGTCCATCGCTATCAGTAGGATATGTTTTCGATTACTTATACATTTGCGGTCTGAAAATAAGATACAATCCTCGATGAGGACTTTTCTTAAATATAGTTTGCTCGACATTCTTGAAAGAGCTTTTAGTCATAACAAATAACTTCAATTTATATTTAAAATGAAAACGAAGTGATTTTGATACATCTTTTAGGTAGAGTAAATGACTTTTAATTATAATGAAAATCAAAACAGAGTATTTAAAATATCTTACCAACATAAACTGATCACTAATTTGAGTTTATCTAAAAGTTCCCAATAGCTCACAAATAAAATGTAGGATTCTAAAAATTTGTATCGAGTATAGAAAATAAATCATAAAATATATCAACGGACTAAGTCAAAACTTCTAAGTTGGGCTCACAAATCACAAATAGGCTTTGTTGCTTTGATAATAGGCAGAGGGGCCCATTGGTCTGCTTTAGATAAGTTGTGAGTATAAAGCCCAATTCATGAAATAGACATCTCTAACTATAAGCATGAATTAGGTTGCATTTTTTCTTTCTTTTTTAATCTCTCATAAATCTTGACTTAATAAAATTGACCCAGTTAAACTTTTCGTACGTAACTAAAAATATTACATATTTATATGTAAAATAAATTTTAATATATTATTTTTAAATAAAAAAACTAAGAGATCTTAGGCTCCAATATTTCAATTTATAAAAAGTATGAATTTATAGAGCTAGTGTCAATTATCCTTGTAGTTTGCGTAATTTTTCTTTTCCCATTCCTATTGATGAGTTGCGCATAACTTTGAGGTATAAGAGGATGTATTCAATTAAGGCTTTTAAGACTTTTAAAATTCAGGTGTACGTATTCAGTTGAAACTTTTTGAGATTTTTAAGAAGTCTGCATATATTTTATTGAGACTGAAAGATATTTTATTTTGGCATTAGTTCGTTAGTTCGAACAAGCACCTGGAACCACAGAATAAAAGGGAAGATCTTTGTATATTATGTATATTATGTCTCCTTTAGTAATATTGTTTATATTCCATATATAAATCCATGAGGATCTTATTACGGTTTTTATATGATAGGTATTTGCACGTGGAGAGATAAAGAAGAAGGATAAAAGAGACATGCTAGGAGAGGAGATCAATGAGAGAGAATAGAAGATTTCTTGCCATAGTTATCCTATTATCTTGGAAGGAAATCTTGAATGAAGACCTATGCCTTGTAGAAGACTCAAAACCTAAGGAGATCATATATATACCCTAGAAGAAGCTTATGGCGGCCGGGGATTACACACTAAGAAATAATTGAGAGCCATTCAAGCCTTACTTGCTTACTGTTCTATTTTGATTGTATTTAGTACAGTCTAAAAGTTCTTACAAACTCAAGGACTGGTACTGCGTTCGTTTAGTTCTTTATACATTTCATCAAAACTATTTTACGGTTTGTACACTTAGGGAGTAAGTGTAGGTTTATAAGTCCACGGGACGTGGCCGGAGGATTAGTTGATAGGATCAAGTAGTGTTGGCTAGATTTGAAGGGAGTTCGAATCGTTGTAAGTCCAAGCTATGTATGCGAGTGATCTATCAATGAAAGAGCTCTGAGGGGAAGTGGGACGCTTCCCTGAAGGGTTTATTAATCTTCGGTTATTTGCTTCCGCATTTTACAATTCTTACTGTAGTTCGTACTAAGAGCGCACTCCGTGACAAATATACGTTTCAATTGGCACCAGAGCAGTGTTCCTGTTCTTACTACGGGATAAAGATCTTTGGGACTGTGTGTTGGTCACCATGAGTCACGATGGAATGTCTGTTTCGCGCCCTCCGTTTCTTGATGGAGCAAACTATGCTTATTGGAAATCCATGATGGTAATTTTTCTTCGTTCCCTTGGCAAAGGCACGTGGCAGGCCGTTGAATCAGGATGGTCGACACCACTTATGCCAAAAGCTCCCGCTGAATTTAAACAAGGTGAACCTTCGGATGCAAAGTCGTCTATGTCTTCCACTCAAGTTCTTGTTGAAAAACCAAGGAGTCTTTGGACTGACGATGAAAAACAAGCGGAAGAAGCGAACTTCCGTGCTTTGTATGCTATCATGTCTGCAGTAGATCCAACTCGTCATAAGATAATCATTCAGTGTACCACCGCTCAAGAAGCCTGGAGGATTTTGGAAA